CGACCTCGGGCCCAAACCCGGCGGGCGCAAGCCTGGAAAATAACGGCCACGGCGCCCTCTCGAAAGCCGAAAACGGACAATTCACTAATCGACGTGTCACTATTGGGGGTTCTGTCCGCCCCCGAAAGGTTGGAACATCATGAGCCCCGCCCCCCCTTCGCTTCCCCCCTCTCGGCACGCCGCCGACCTCTCCAGGCAGTCCCCGATCCGGAGCAGCTCCCAGGGGCGGAAGCGCGGCAGGAGCGAGAGAGACGGCACCGCGTCGAGGACGCTCCGGACCGTGGGGGAGACGCTCCGCCACCTATCGGGGGCGCGCAAGCATAAATCAGCGATCCATGGATGTGGCGCGCGGTCGCCAAATCCGTGGATCGGGGGAGGTGCCCTCCCCAAAGTGCGGCCGGTGCCGCCTCCTTCGGCGGCGGAAATCCGCGATTTCCAGTGGAAGCGGGACGCGCCGCTGATACACGCCCCCTTGATCCATGTTTGCGATCACCTGACACCTGTCCCGGAGGTCCTCCCCGCCCCCGTGGACGAAGAAGCGCGCGTAGCACTCCTGGAAAACGCTGTCGACGCCTGCCCTCAGCACGCACTGGTACTGTCCGTACAGCGCCCGGAGGAAGACGGCAAACCTAGACGAACAGAAAAACGGCATGAGTCACGAGGGCAAAACGAGCCGCCATCACCACCACCAGAACTCCATGGAAGTCCGTTCCAAAAGGCCACCCCACCGAGCTGGTGGCACTCCGTTCTGAGCACTCGCTGGGGGCGCGCCCGGAACAAGGTGCCACCAGCTCGGGGGGGGGGGGAAGAGGCCAGCCCCCGCAACTGGTGGTAGCGGTTCTTTCTCATCGAGTGAATAGGCATGACCTTTCGGAGATCCGCGCGGCTCCACAGGCGCGCGGAGCGCGCCAGGGGCGGCGGCGTGGGCGTCGCCAGGGAGGACCCAGCGCCGACCCCAGCAACCCGCGCGGCCCTGCGAAACTTTCTGCTTACAGTCAAAGTGTGCATCAGAACGGGTGGCAAGGACGCAAGACCCTTGGAGGCCGAAGTTGGGAATTTTTGGGGCGGCGGGCGACCACAACCCCAGGGACGCAAGGGCAGCCTAACCCAGAGAGAGCCCAAGGGAAACGGCAAAGGACGGGCCGCAGAGGCAAGGACGCAAGAGTAACCTACATGAAGGCGCGCGTCCCTACTATGCGCCCAGGTCAGATCTCAGAAAAACAGGCTGGGGCTCAGGGGCTCAGGGGTGAAAGGGTGCCCGCAGCCAAGTGGGCCCCAGACCAGAGGGGTGTCCAATACCCCAGCGCCGCTCGCGCCCGCAGGGAAGGGCTCGACTGCGGGGACAGCAAGCGACCACAACCACATCGAAGAGAAACCCTGCGGGAAGTCTTGCGCATGCCGAGAATTGCTGGAAAACCGAAACTAGCTTCGTGCTGACTGTCGTCGACGTGGCGTCCCAGGACGGCCAAATCGACAACAACTACAGCCAAAAGGCTCATGTCGAGGTCGGTGGTTTCTCCCCCGAGGGGCCTTCCTGGAAAATCCATTTAGTTGTGGTTGTGGTTCTCTGTTCGGCGGGGGAAGTGAGAAGGAGATGGCCCTCTAAGAAGGCGGCGGGACTTCTCAGAAGCCATCGCGCCTTATGAAAAGTTCTCCTTGCGTCTTCGGGAAAGGACTCAGACAACTTCTCAGAAGGCCGGGTGGGAATCCACACATTCTCAGAAGGCCTTCTCCTCCTTCTCGCTTCCCCCCTCGCTCGGCGCCGATCGGCGGCGCCAGGATCGACAGCGGTCGCAGGGAGGAGGAGGAGGAGGAGGAGGAGGAGGAAGAGGAGGAGGAGGGAAGAGGAGGAGGGAGGAGGAGGAGGAAGAGGAGGAGGAGCAGGAGGAGGAGGAGCAGCAGGAGCAGGAGGAGGAGGAGGTTAGCGCCCCTCCGAGCAGCCCGAGGCAGACTGGCAGGCAAGCCGCGAGGGCCCTCAGGCAGGCCGGGAGGCAGGCTGGCGGCCACGGGGAGGAGCCCGCGGCCAGGAGCGACGCCGCGGCCACGAGGGCCACCGGGGCAGCCGCCCATGCGGCCCGAAGGTGAGGGGCCAGTGCTCCACCACCACTGCAGTCCACCACCACAGACGAAGGCCTCCCTCCCTCCTCCCTCCCTCCTTCCCTCCCTCCTCCCTTGTCCCTCTTTCCCTCCTCCCTCCTCCCTCCTCCCTCCTTCCCTCTTGCCTCCTCCTCCTCCTCCTCCTCCTCCTCCTCCTCCTCCTCCTCCTCCTCCTCCTCCTCCTCCTCCTCCCTCGCGGGCTGAGAAGGCCCTTGAGCAGGCGGTTCACCAGGAGGACGAGGCCCGCCGTTGGCTGGCAGAGTGCAGCCAGAGGACCCAGCAAGCGGCAGCGGTTCAAGGCCAAGTCGGAGTGGCAGGAGGAGCTCAAGGCCGAGCTGCAGAAGGCCAAGGGCGCTGGGTCGGCAGAGGTCAGGTCGCGCTCGCCCTCGCATGTGCCGGCGGGCTCCCAGATCAACCTGTCGCAGTTGCTGGGGGACGAGAGCGGGATCGATGCGGTCGAGATTGTGGATGGGGATGTGCTGGACCTTCGCGACTTGGAAATTGGCGAAGAGGATAAGCAGCGGTGGCTGGCACTCAAGAGCAGCATGGCGGTCGAGATCCAGAAGGCGGTCATCGCTGCAGTCGGACCCAGCGCTGAGAACATCCAGAGACTCAGACAGGAGGCGCGGGAGATGCGGGATCGCTTGGCGTCGAAGCGTCCGCGGCATGAGGACAGCGGAGGCCCAGGAGATGGCGCCACAGGGTCCCGAGGAGAAGGCCGCCAGGCGCCAGCGGCGGCCGCTGCTGCAGTGCATGCTGCTCCTGATAACAATCCTGCTGCCGATGCCGCTGTCCCTGGAAGTGCAGCAGGCCCAGTAGCCAGAGACCCACCTCGGCCTGAAGACCTGCAAGCAGCAGTTGAGGCAGCCAGAACCAAGCTTGCAGAAGAGGGTCAGCAGAAGCTGTAGTCCGCCATGGGCTGGGCAGAAGCTCATGGGTCGGCCGCCGCAGGAGCTAAGGCCCAGAGATCCCTCAGACAGGAGCAGTCGGGAGTTCGCGCAGGCTGTCACAAGCTGGAGTTCAAGATTGATCTGGGACCTATACAGGGAACAGGAGGCTGACAACCAGAATTGGCAGCAGTAGTTTTTCCCTACCTAGGCTCTGCCTAGAAGGTTTCTTACTCTCTTGGCTTAAAGGGGCCGGGCAGTGTAACCCGCCCCAGGCGGTCCCCCCGGTCCCCTGGGAGCCAAGCAAAAGCAATAGCAAAGGTAAAAGCAAACGCGCGGTTCCCCCAGTTGCGCTCCCTGGGTGCCAAGCAAAAGCCAAAGCAAAGGCAAAAGTGAAGGCAAAAGCGAAGGCAAAGCAAAAGCATAGCATTGCATAGCATAGCATGGCATAGCATAACATAGCATAGCATAGCATAGCATAGCATTAGCATAGCATAGCATAGCATAGCATAGCATAGCACAGCCTAGCCTAGCCTAGGCCAGCATAGCATTGCGCAGCATAGCATAGCATAGCATAGCAGAGCAGAGCAGAGCATAGCGTAGCATAGCGCAGCACAACCTTGCTCATAGAACGCTGGGTGTAGCAAAGGTTGCACAACCTTGCTCAATGCCAAGTCATGCGGTGTAGGCCGGATCCGGCGCATTCTCAAGCACACCCGGTGAGCGAATGCAAACACATGCGTGTGTGTGTGTCTGTGCGCAGGCAAAGCAAAAGCAAAACCAAGCAGAAGCAAAAACCAAAGCAAAGCAAAGCTAAAGCAACAGCAAAAGCAAAAGCAAAGGCAAAGGCAAAAGCAAAGGCAAGAGCAAAGGCAAAGGCAATGTAAAGCAAAAGTAAAACCAATGCGAAAGTGTAGATGTGGATGTAGATGTAGGTATAGAAGTAGGTGTAGGTGCAGATGTGGATGTAGATGTAGATGTAGATGTAGATGTAGATGTAGATGTAGATGTAGATGTAGATGTAGATGTAGATGTAGATGTAGATGTAGATGTAGATGTAGATGTAGATGTAGATGTAGATGTAGATGTAGATGCAGATGCAGATGCAGATGTAGATGAAGATGTAGATGTAGATGTAGATGTAGATGTAGATGTAGCTGTAGATGTAGATGTAGATGTAGATGTAGATGTAGATGTAGATGTAGATGTAGATGTAGAGGTAGATGTAGATGTAGATGTAGATGTAGATGTAGATGTAGATGTAGATGTAGATGTAGATGTAGATGTAGATGTAGATGTAGATGTAGATGTAGATGTAGATGTAGATGTAGATGTAGATGTAGATGTAGATGTAGTTGTTGATGTAGATGTAGATGTAGATGTAGATGTAGATGTAGATGTAGATGTAGATGTAGATGTA